ACGCCTACTACAGGTAATTGACAGAATGCTTTGAACCACAATGCATTGCCTATTCATCACAGTCACTACCATAAGATTATTCATGCTTTTGAAGTATTATCAACCTTTTCTCGCAACATATAAGCAATAGACTGATCCTAGTTATTGCTGCTGAAATCGGTACAAATATAAATAGATATATCATTAAACAAATTTATTGATTAAGGTTATCTTGACCTATGTTGTCTATTTGCATAGATCAAAATGAATTATTCATCTATCTAATTATTGGAAACATTTCAACTTTAGGTCAGGGGTCAAATTAACCTCAAAACCAGAAAAAAAATAAGAAAATAATCAACTTATTCATTATTATTTTATCAACTGAATGATACAGACAATGAAATCAAATAACTATTGAATAACAGTCCCGTTTCTGTTTACATATATATGAAATGGACTAGAATATTTTGTAAACAAATAAATTAGTGTGATAGTAACAAATATTATGCTATTTTTATTATATTTTTCAACTACTTAATTGGTTGATAAAAATAAGTGAGATCGTGGATGCGCACTGCTGAGGAGTCCCGCAATAGGACGAAACGGCCGTCCAGTGTTTCCAGGTTTTCAATGGTGGTCTAACATCAATCGGTTCATGATCTCAATTAAAAGAACTTATATACTAGTGAGTAGAGTGAGGAAGTTATTATTTATTTAAACACATAAGCATTGGTACAAGGAGGAACCGAATAGATATGCGCCATATAAATCATTCGATTTGTGTGAGGGCTGGGATACTGCCCGGGTGCCCAGACCGAACCAGGTGGTTTTCTTAGGGGGGGGGCACACCCCGAGCTTTGGACCTAAAGGTCTGACCTACAAGGAAGTATTTGAAAGAAACCGGTAAAGTGCAACGATTTTGAATGAGGGATGAAATTAACATCTATAAACATAACTAATGAATATCCATTTCAAGTGTTATAATAAAGTTTATCTGGAAAGTTGTGAAGTTATTTCCACTAACAGTTATCAAGCTTATTAAACACAAATGTTTAGAAACTTTGAAAGTAGTCAGATATTGTTACTCAAGTTTGGACTGATTGAATAGAGATTGAATTACATGCTGTTTGTCCAGTTGTTTGAATTTCTTTTTTGACTATTAGAAATAAAGTAGAATCATCACTTTGATAGTTGAAACTCAATTTTATGAATCATTCAACAGAATTCTTACAAAAAGAAATTTATTGTCTGAAATAAATCCAGATGCAACAGTTGCAACATGATCGATAGCATTCGATCTGCACTATTAAGGACTAGACAAGCATGAGATTGATCACCACCCAGTGAACAATCAATTGTGATTACATCTCAGTCCTACAGGAGGTTAGTCACGGCTCGGATAGCTCAGTGGTAACGTCTCTGACTGTGAAGCTGGGTGACACGAGGTCGAATCCGCCAGGGAGCACCAGTTCCCTCAAGATTACAGGTTCACCTTGCTGACGAGTGCCAAGTAGCTCGAAACCCGGGTCCAGGGTTTCCTGTTGACTACCTCCAACCACCATCTAAATCCAGATAGTGCCGGACAGATTTTAGTATTTTCGCGTTTTGTGATGGATGAATAAAATCAACACTAGCAGAGGTGTATCTCAGTCTTATGCTGAATTTAAATGAGAACTTAGCTCTTGAATTATCATTTTCTCATCAAACAAATTAGATTGAGAGTAAAAAAAGTTTAGAATATTTAAGTGGTGTTACCAACTCAAAACACTGGCTTCAACATCTGTTACAAATGTTGAAGTTGGCATAGGTGACTAACCGGTTGATGAATTCTCATCGAACGAGATTGGGGCATATGTTACGTGTCTAACCATTGCCTTTAGTTTAGTAGGATTCAAACCAGAAAATGGTATCAGTTCACGAAGTCAGTGACTGTTGATATGATCTATGTAGGCAGGTTCAGACTACATGATCGGAGTGTGTGATGATCCCAATTAATGGTCGGAGACTTTGACAAACAACGTGCATCAGTTAATTGCACGCCACGGAATGACCCATGTGGCAGTATTTGCACTCTGTTCGTATTTCTGCAATAACGTTGTTTGCGTTGTACGGTCACTAAAGCAAACATAGTACCCGGTTACGACGAAAGCGTGATCAGCGTTAAGTATTAACCATAAGGTGTGACTTCGACGTTAGCTGATTGGTTACACCATTCCTGTCCCGGCCTCCAATTATTCGACATAGATCGTCTGTGCTAATGGTCTATACACCTTTTATAAAATAAGTCTACATCTCTGTAACGTTCCTGATTTATCCTAATGTCAACACATTGCGAAAATATAATCACTTTTCTACAAGCATGAGAACATGATATTTAGAGCTGGTCGGAATTCACCGACCACACTGACCCTATCCATCTCTTTTATTATTTAAATTAATGTTCATTTGAAAAGGTTATTATTACGAGAGAGTATCTGAGATGAATTTATGCAACACAAGAGATCTTCTGTTATATTCACTGACATTTTACAAATATGTATATAATTTCTACCATAGACTGTCAGCCGGAAATCGACTAACATTTAAGAAGTATTGAACAACTACTTCGTTGTAGATTAGGATTGATCATTGGTGAGAACAGATAGCCTTACGCTAAATAAGTCAGGACCTCCAGGTTTCATGTTGAGGAAGAATTATTTATAGAAGATAGGGTCCGAATATAGCAGATTTTATGACAAAAATCCTTTTTTAATCAAACTAACCTTACTATTACAAACATGACCATTCCCATTATTAAAAATGTTTTGAGTGTCCATAATAGTAAAATGAAGTAAAACTATCTAATCCCCTAAACTTGTAACCATACTGCCGGATTATCAACAGAATTCTTGTTTGTTTGAATGTAGTCTATTATGTTCTTTACAGATTGTTAACATTTCATTATTAAATAGTTTAATGCTTCAATCTTGGTGGTATATAATGAACCTAGATTATTTCTCCTGAACTGATAAATCCTCACATCTGAGGTTTATTTCATCACCATTTTTGGCACTCATGCTTTGATTTTTCTGGACAGTTCCAAATATTTGATGACATTCATACAATACCTAAACTACAATAGTTCTGTTTCCTTTGACAGGCCATTGGGGGTTGGTACATTTCATAGATGTATTTGTCTAAGGGAGACGGGGAATTGTCATATTACCAGATTGTTGCAGTGGTATTCGAATGAAACTACTCAAAGCTCAAAAACAAATCTTAGCTGTTTTTCGAAAAGAAAAACTTCGCAGAGTATTGCAGAATAGAAACAGAAATTAAAGAGGAATTTATCAGACCCATTTCGAACCCCATATTATGTTTGATATGTATAATTATCTTAGAATGCCAGAGGCTAATATGATTCAGATTTGAATGGAGTAAAAGGTGTATCCTAAGTTCATTTACGAAACAATCCCACAGTAAAAATACCAGTTATCAAAGAATGGCAGACAACTGCTTAGAAAGATTCAGATCTATGTAATTATTCAGAAAATACTTCACGAAAAAGTGCTAACGAAGCTAGTGTCAACCATGTACTGGCAAAAGTAACTTGTCTCAACGACTTGGTAGTATTAAATGTGGTTAGGCAGAGTGTGGAAGAACAGAAAAAAATCTTTACAACAACCAAAGCTTACTATCGGACTTCGACTGATAATTGGGATACCCCGGATCATTTTATCGTAAAACCATCGCATTTCACGAGCCAACCCATTGAACTGCTCGGAAGCAAGTATCGCAAAAACTTTCTGAACCACTCCCAAGGTTTTAGCAAAGGACTTGTGGCTAGAAGTTACTTCCGGTGGATCAATTCCGATCCAGTTTTAGGAACTACCTACTAGTTTGGTTATAGAAACGTAAAACAAGTTAGGGATAAAATAAGGCACTTATTACATGAAAAGTCATAGGCTATTCCCACATGAGGTCCGAAACCCTTTACGCAGCCTCATTTACACCGTGGCTATCCAGTCTGATCAAATTCACTAAGTCAAACTCAGTAGATTAAACTGGAGACTCTCCCCAGTTAGGTTAGTCCATTATGAAATTTTTCAGTGATCGCCACAAACAATGACCTTATAAAAGTTTAGTAAATCATGCGTTAGATGCTGTATATACAAGCACTTGGTACACAAACCGACCACGCGAAATGCCAGACTAGAGGAGCAAATGAATTGTCACACTACTGTGATTTGCGAGATACACCGCATATCCACAGACCTCAACAATTTCAGTGAGACGCGCCCTTTGGCTTGCTAGGCTTGGCGGGCGATGACAGCAATGATGATGACGCAACTCTCCGACTTCGGGAGAATACCCCTGAGGAGCAACGCAAGGTCGAGATTAGGATGCTGACAACCACCCCACTGCATATCCTTTAGTTAGCGTCCAGCCCCTGACCCGTGTCCTAGCCCAGAAGCAATTCGTTAACACGATAACAAGCGTCCCCACACAGCCTTAAAGAAACAACCCACTGATTAGCAGACACTCACGGTTACGCCAGCCCAGCCACATTTTTCATACCAAGTAATAAACGCCTCCTCAGTGATGAAAGGTCGTCCGGCTACCTACCATGGGTAACAGCCCGTTGCCAACATGAAATAGTCCTATAGCTTTGCTCTCACCAACGAGCAAATCTAGAGCCACTGAAACAGAGACAAACGCACTACACACTGGCGACGTCCAGCCAACCATAAATTAGAACTCGGACTTCCGAAACATTAGTGCAATCGCGGAGTACGACACCACTAAAGACATTCCTCGAACCAACTTGCAGAATGGTTCACCACCAACACCTTCTTGACATTACAAGTAGTGTCCTACAGTTCCTAATTCGACTCAAAAGTGATCTGTATTGTTACTAACTACCACTAGAAGTTCACTCATTACGGAACACTGAAGCAAGTGACTTGTTACATTACTCAATTACTTTAACGAGTAACCCGACTAGGGGAATGCTGTTTGTTGTTACACCACAACTGCGTCCACAACCCAAGTTATTTCAAAGTTCTATGCTATGACGAGTAGTTAGTTCCACATATTGCTGTCAAGAATGGAATTTACAGAGAACTTTAAGATTTAAACTCATTACAATTGTATGCACAGCCACTAACATCGAAAAGTTATGGACATTTGAGTCAAAAACTGACCCCAAGTAAACAGTGAACATAGCTGAATTAAGATGAAATTAAAGCTGTAACAAACAACAAGATTACTTCGTAAAAGGCTGTAATAAGAACATAGTCAATGGTGAAAGTGTAAAATGCGCATATACAGGCGGTTCATAGACAAACAACCACCGGGTGAATGATGGATCACTTCTCAATTAACTGGCAAAGCTTCCTCTTCAGGTGTCTTTTTCTCCGTTTCTTCCTCGGTTCCATTTTCTTCAGACTTCTTAGCATCTGCATTTGGCATTTCCAAATCAGGGAGGTCTACAAAACAAAGAAATGAACCATGTAATTTGTTGCGTCACTATAAGATGCTGATTAGTACTTTACGACAAGGATATGTCACGAAGCAAATAAGGAGGGATAAACAGTATGCATACACAAGTTTGAGCACTAACTGGATTCTGAAAGCAGAAATATGCCACTAGTGACGTGTCAAGCATGTGCATCAAAAGAGACTGTCAGAATATCAAAAACGCAAGTGGTAAAAGTACCAAGGCAATAAGGACTGTGCACATACAATACATAGTGATTTAGAAAACACGACAAAGTACATAAAATACCTAATAAGGAATTGCTAGGACTAAACAACTTAAAGGATGAAAGAAATACAACACTTGCACATAATACGAAGAAAAACTTCAACTATTGCTTTTACAACTTCTTATTCACATTTCTACGACCGAATTGTACTAGTTATGTAAGAACCACACCACCATAGACAACCCCTCTTAACGCGTTTATAAGCGGATCTTTACATATATGAAATAAAGGACTAGACAGTGTATTTATACACCTATTATATGAAGTGTGGGCGCGCCTAACATAGTACGCTACACAAGTTTGACAGCCCAACTACTTTTTTTGGCTTAGACTAGGAGTCAGTATAACTAGGGAGTAACCTACCTTCATCGTCAGAATCGAGATCACCGTCTATACCATCATCGCCTCCATAGTCACCAAAATTGGACATCTGAGACAACATATTAGAAAAGTTATTTCCATCCATATCAGGTTCTGAGTCATCCTCGTCCTTCCAGCGATTAAAGTCTGTTTTCAACCATGGGCATTTTGTTTTCTGTGAAAGTAGACGTGGCCATGAACCGTTTTCTTTCTTTTTTATGCAAATAAAAACTTCTCGACCGGAAGTAGTAATTTTTGGTTCCTTGAAATGGGTAGTTTTTAGCACAACAACATACCTCTGTACAAACATTTCCATAAAAGTCAAGTTTAACTTCATACTCAATAGGTTTATCCTTGCCTGCTTCCGCTCTAAAAAAAGGATTTGAAGTGAAATACAACAAATTACCTAAACTCTAGGGAATTATCTTTAACATTAACAGTCTTATTTACTACATCACTAACAACGACAGTGATGTAGAGGCAATCATTCCTTTGGGCCCAGAGTACTGGTAGGTGAACACTAGAAAAAGACTATGCATTACTAAACACACATACGCTGCTTGACGATCACCAGACATGTTCGCAACCTAATAGCACGCAAGATTATTCTAGAGTAACTATATAGACAAACACGTGATTCAACGCTCAATATCCACCAAGGTGGATTATTTTTGTCACCTGTCGATTTATGAGAATAACTTATTGAATATGCCAGTGGATGTGATAGCATCTTTATTTTAGGGACCAAACCGTATTAACTAGAAGATTTCAGTTTTCAGTCCTCAGTAGTAAGTTATAGGTCAATCGACATCTATTAATCCATGAAATTTGTAGTGCTATCGAGATCCCATCTCGCTTTGAATGTATCAACAGAATGTTCTAATAGTTCAGTAATTCCCTACTTGGTGCGAGAGATAAAAAACCCGAAGAAAACCATTTGTTCTCAATTTTCGAACTTTCTTAGAATGTTCTCTTTGATTAGCAGTCCCAGATAGAAAGAAAAGATATGACATATTAAAACCAAAATCATCGTGCGGCGTGCGGTAACTCAGTGTTAGATCACTCTTTGCCATGTGGTAAAAGAACGGAAATAGGTTGCGGCGTTCCAGTTTGTCTTCACAAGACAGGCCGGAGAGCCCTTTAACCATTTCGATCCTCTGTCGTTGAGCATGTTCTAGCATATCACCTGCATACTCAAAGCAAGGACTCAGTGCTTGATTTCAGCATTATGAATGCGGCCTTGCAAGTTCGAGTATAATACCTTAATTATTTCCTCGTCTAAGTAGTGAAATGATATGTGAATAACTCACAACAACCTGGAGCCAATGGCAGCGATAGCCCTGCAGTTGCTCGTAGTTCTGAGGTTGTTGCTTATTATGACTCCTAAATATCTATGACACATTGCTTCGGGTAACACAACCCCACCTATTTTGCAGTGATGTGAACCGTTGCAGTCATTTATTTGCGTCATCACACTAGTATTGGAGTCAACTTCTAATGACTATCTACCCATCCGTTCAACCAGTGAATTCAGATCGTCTTACAACATTACCTTGTTTGACATACTTTGTGTGGGTCTCCAAATCTTTATGTCATTAGCAAATAATAAAATCAATGAGTTTTCTACAGTTGGTAAGTCATTTACATAAAGTAAAAAGAGAAGGGTACCTAGAATTGTGTCTGGATGAACTCCACTTTTTACAGTTTTGTACGTTGATAGAGTCCCATTAACTGTACCCATTGATTCCTATGATTAGTAAAGTCACTTATTCAGTTTATGATTTCATCATGGATCCCCAAACTTTCCAGTTTTAATTTAGGACCCGAATGAGAGACTTTGTCAAAGACTTTTCATAGATCTATGTAAATTACATCTACAGGAATATTTTTATATTTAACTGCAGCCAAAATTACTCTTAACGAGCAGATTGACAGTACGATAGGCCTTCCCTAAAACCATGTTGTTCCCTGGATAAAAGACCATACCCTCCCATATAGTTTAGAATAGCTATCCGAATAATCTTTTCCATTAGTTTGGCAACTACATTGGTTAGACCAGCGGGTCGATAGATACCAACTAAGTCCATGCTCTCCGCTTTATTGGGTCTTTCCAGTCTCTTGGCAGTTCAGACTGCCGCAAAGACATACCAAACAGTTCTGCCTAAGGTTCGGAAATTACACCTTCCATTGCTTTCATAATCTTGGGGTAAACATTACCAGAACTACTAGACTCGTGTGATTCGAGATGTCGGAGCGACCGTAAGACAGTTCCTTTCTCAACAACTACAAGATCTGTCGACAAGCTGGCGTTGTCACGAGTAATTGTTGGTCTTGCTCAGTCGTCAGCAGGAAACACTTTACTAAAATATTCTGATAGGCCTTCAGCTTTTAGAACATCATTTATTCCCAATACAAACGGATTTTCCTGCACCAAAAGTGGTGAGATTCCATCGCCCCTCTGAGTTCCTCTATTTATATACGAAAACAAACTTTTCAAACTATTTTCATAATTCCTAACCAATTGTTTTTCTAATGAATGTCTAGTATTAATTATCAACGCTTTGCAAGTGTACCTAGTCTTACAATTAATGGATCTGTTCTGTTCAGATCATGTAGAGATAAACATACTCAAATACCTTTTCCAACGTCTAAGAAGTCCCTTGATATGTTTATTTATCTATGGTAGACATCTATTTGGTTTATATGATACTAAGTACAGCATAGAAGGGGACGTAATTAAGCTAGGTGCACCTTTAAATATGGACCGTGCTTCTCCAGTTGACGAAATATTATTTACTGAGCTATCTGTTATTGCAGGGCACTACTGAATGTGTGATAGATTTGATCTCCATATATTTCGACAGGGTTTAACTCGATCGCATATAATGTCATTAACTCCAGACGTGGATAAAAATACAGTTAAAACTTTGTTGGATAAGAATGTCAGACTGATGGATCCAAGAAACCTGTGTCTGAATTATGAGAGGTGATACGTAGTTGAAGATAGCTACAAATCCATGTACCGATCTTTGATGAAACTGATATACTAGTGTTGGGACAGCTTCCGAGAATTATGACGGACCCTTCAGAGGCCCTAAAGGAGCCGAAGAGTTTCCATCCAATCAGAACGTGATGGAACTTTCTAGAATGTCAACATGGCGTGCCACTATTGAACAGTAGCACAATATGTCTCCTTGCAGATCGGCTGAATTATTATGTTGATATAACAAAACTTTAATATCTATAGAGACCCATGATTTTCTGTAGATTTTGATCCTTACCCAACAAGCACCTCATTATTATTCTTTCTTCTTCTTATTTGTGACTATGTTCTATAAGCTCGAGTTTCGTAGTTGTACACCGTATTCTGCGTTAATCAATTAGCGAATTTAACAAGTGGATTTTATTTTATAAGAACTCCTTAAGAAATGCCTTCAGCGAAAGTGACGTCCAAGGCATGTGTTCCAAATTGAATGACAAACAGGCTTTTTAAGGAGTTCGCTGTAGCTGAAATCAAGATGTGATCTGGAATACGATGGGACAACCTACATAACAGTATATCGTTATAGGTTTCGGTTAGAGTCAAGTCATGGGTTTCACTGCCTAGATTGGTAAACCGATATAATAATCACGATAAAACATAATTGCGTAGACTACTATGTTTAACATCTTGCGATTTCAGTATTACCAGAGGGGCTAATTCAGATATGTTTTCGTTTCTAAGTACCCTTGTAGTGGCGTTAAACCATAACCACACAATCCTAAAAGCTGAACACGAGAAAATTGGGAAAATAGATATTCGGTATTGAACGCGGAGAAAAACCCAACGATGAAGAAGGCGGAAACAAGGAATTAAATTAATTCGAGTTGATCGAATGGCATTGCTCGGCCCTGCAGGTGTGGTCATCGTTTAGTGTTGTTATATACTTTTTATTCATATTAAATATATTGTTCTGTCTCTAGCCTAAGCTTGTTCTCCATCATGTATCGGCGATTGTTACGATGCAATGAGTTGGTGTAGACGATGATATGACTTCCACGTAATATCTTATAGATTAGGCAGTTTTATCATGACAAAACTACAATTTTATGATAAGGTCTATTATTAGAACAGTACTAATGTCAAAGATGACAACAGTTTTACACTCTCAGCTTTTTGAAATAGTAATTGGTGTTGTCTAGAAACTATGAAGTGTTGGGCAGAAACATAGACTTTCTGGAGTTCTTATGTTTCCCCACTGAAGATAATGATAATATGTATATCTATAAACATCGTATTTATTCTCTTGATTGCTCTTGTTATCTGTGTTAGTTTTATATTGATATCATCGATAACCTTTTAAGTTTGAGAAATTTAATTTCTTCCTTTGAGGAGCCATAATTTTGTTTTCTCTTATCGTGGTGGTCATCTGCGCCATCATTAGTGCTCCAGCTGTTCCATAATGGTATAAGGTTGGGGTTTCTAGGAGCTCTCAACTGTACGTAGATTTATTCTCGACCAACTGTTGTACGTCGCAACGCAACATCCATAAAGCGCATCAATTGTCATATTTACAATATGAGTCTTTGTAACGGAAAGAGAACGATGAAAATCCCTCTTCAGCTTTTTTGTTGAACAATACTGTCATTTATTTGTTTCTTTTCCCTGTCGTGTATTTTAACCTTTGTTCAGATCTCGTTTAACCACACCTTTTGTTCTTTAGTCTTCCTCGTCTGGGCCTTTATTATGTGATTTTGATTACAGACTTATCTTTTGTTAGCTAATTTTCTATTGCATATTGTCGGACTTTTGACAGTGAGGTCGTGGTTGACTAAGCTCAAGGTCACGGCGTAGTTCGGTGTGTGACTGTCAACCATTTGACTGTTCTTGGGAGGATTGCTGAAATCCCTGCAGATAGATATTTGATTCCATCTTGTTCGGAATATTTTTATTGATTTTCAGGTATCGAACCCTTTGATATTAACTATTTCTTTTATTGTTGCGTTAGAGAAACCTTTGACTGTACAGCTCAGGCTGTACCGTTTGAGGTATTTTGTATGTTTGATATAATTTGTTCTGTTTCCTAGGTTAGAACTGTTTGAATTGAGCACACAATTTGTGTTTTCATATAATTTGATACGAGTATCTCAAAAACGCTTGGTACGCTATACAGAAGAACGTAGTCTGGCCTATTCGAATAAATTTTAGTCCGTCTATTCTGCCTTCAAACCGAATACTAGCAGCTCGTTCGTCACCAGTTTTACTAACATTATTTACATTCCCACATGAGAAGAGTTATTCCCCGTAATTCCATGGCCAATGTAGCTTATTAAATATCAACCTCACTGGGTGACCTGATACAGTGTATCCTATGAAACAGTTTGATCTTGAGTGTAAAATGGAATGCTTCATGTGAAAGATTGTTATTTGAGAACAAATTATTATTCCTACTGTAATAAGATTATCGGTGATCAATATATGTAGATCAGTCGTGTTGTACTCAGCGAGATTACGGAAGATACAAGGCTCCATGAAAAACCGAGCAGAGAAACACACAGAAACAAGTAAAATCGTCACCAAAGCATAAGGGAACTTGTGGCCTCCTAACCTCATCTTACGATGAAAGTGTACGACAGGCTGTTGAAATAAAACATTTGTGGTGCTCACTATGTGTCCTGATCCTTCTGAGAC